AGTATGTATCGAAATATCTCATAACCAAATTTATACTGATAAGAAGTCTTCTTACGTCGCGAATTTCAACTAGACTAGTGCAAAATGAACTCGGTGGAGGTGCAACGGTTGAATAGATCAGACCTATTATTTACGTCGGTAACATAGCGCTAGATGCTTTATTTTCTATGTAATATAGGGCATCATTCGAACCTTCAGAATGGTGGCACGTCTTTTCAACTAGGCGACATTCCAACTACGACATTTGAACTGAAATTTTCAACTACAATATATCAACTAGTTTTGTAAAATTACTATATTTTTGGGAATTAGCTGAAATTTTTTTTATTTTCATTTTTTTTACTCTTTGCTTTTCAACAGACAATGTGATGCAACTCAATTTAACCACTGACCTAATACATTAATGATTAATATCATACAAAGATTCAATTTTTTTTTCTATTAACAATTATATGAGATCAATAATTTAGTATTAATAGTTGTATTTTTTCTTTAAGGATTTTCCGTGCTTTTTTGTCAAAGCCTGTTTTCCATTTTATATTAAGATGCATTGAGCGATTCCACGCAGATAGTTTTCAATATCGTCCAATGCATTTTTGCGATTAACGATTCTCTCGATTTTCGCGTCATGATCTCTGTAAGCCTTTCGTTTTTTTTTTTGGAGGGGGCTGGCCACCATTGGTCTGCGTCCATTACAGCCTTTTCGTCCTTAAGGAACTTCCGCAGCAAGTATATGGGAGTAGAACGAAATGAACTGCAACGCTGAAATTTTGAGAATATATTCTTTGAGTGATTACAAATATCCTCCAGAAGTCCCAAAACGTTGAACCACGTAGATTGTTGAGGAGAAAATATGAAAAATGTGTCATTAACACAGAGTCTTATGGCACCACTTTTTCAAAAATCACAAAAAAAAAATCGACAGTGGAATAAAAATCCAAACGTTTCACGAATAGAACCGTATATATTTCAGGAACATATCCCCACAATTTCATCAGCCGTCACCACAGGGATTATTTATAATTATTGAAAATGTATGGCATAGTTTGGGATTTTAGTTACGTTCGAGTAAACTGATGGCTGAACAAGGCAACGTTGAGGGATGTTAGAGTGCGCGCGACGGAGGCCATCGTGTGAACTCAGCCAAAGCATATACTATAGATTCTATAGTACAGTATAGGATTTTATCGGGAGACAAGAATAATACCAACTGCGTCGAACAAAAATGCGTGATTGTCAAATTTCTCATGAAAATTTTTATTTGTTAAAAAATTCGGATAAATAATATTTTGGAATAAAAATCATTTGGAATTGATTAATCATGAATAATAAGTGTAAAGAAACCTAACCGACGAAATTTCAATCTATGAACTTTTCGTCATTTCATTATTTTTTTTCAAAGAACGCAGCGGAGTGTTGGAACCTTTGATATGTTCCTCCACTCCATAGGCCCAAAATTTACTACGGAAGTTCCTTAAGGCTTTAAATTTTTAAGGTATCGTTAAGAGTGGGCCTATCGCTCTGTTGTAAGTTGACTTATCTTTCCCGAAAATCTAGTCACTAAGGATAAGTGCAGAATTTTTACTCAAATTGCATCCTGCGTGCGTGATACTGGTACCTAAAAAAAAGACCCAATAAAAAGGGAAAAATGTAGCGCCAATACCCTCGAAACCCTATTCACAAAGGCAGCAACAGTTTTTCAGCTCTCCTGTAAAATTTGTTTTTTTGCACTTATCCTAGTTTACCAATTCACGACAGAATTTATATTAAATTCTCAAAAATAAGGGAATGAAGTCTCATCGAGTTTTCTCAGTAATTTGTTGAATAAATTAACGATAAAAATAATTGGCGTGATGTCTGTCACTATCCAACGCACGCCATGTTTGATGTTTCGTCTCTCTCGAAAATAACCTCACTAACTTAACCATTTTACGCTCCACTCACCCGCGCGCCTATCCCCGTTTTGTGCTACTGAGGAGACCCCTTAAGGGCCTGTTTTTTGGTGAAACTAACCATGGCTAACTCGTGGTTAAAGTTAAATCCAGTCCCCCCACCACGTTCCCCACATGAGGGGAATTATTTTCTGCTACTGTCATGAGTGTAGGAAATGGCGGATACATAGGACAACAAAAGCCGGGTAATATTTATTCTGTTGCCGACCAATGACATTTATTGTGTTCAATAAACCAAAAAAAGATGAAATATCAGTGTGATGTGGTGAAAATAGTATATTGTGCATCAAGGGCGGAAAGTCATGTTTTCCTGCCCGAGGTGCACATGCTATTTTTTAACACGCCTGCAAAGGAAAGTTCGTATTTTGCTCTTTGATGAGTCAAGACTTTCCGCCCTTGAGAGCAACTTTCCACCCTAGGGCGGAAAGTATTCACTTTCCTACCGCTCATCAGGGAGCAAAGTACGAACTTTCCGTGCAGGTATGTGAAAAAAGTGGATTAACTAAGTTTCGTGCGCGATGGCTAAGAAAATGGAGTAAGTATGGAAAGGGAATCCATTTAAAACTGTTTGCAATGGATCATTGGATTCATCTGTTTTGTTCAATTTTTAATGTACTTTTACGTGTTCAATTGGTAGGACACCCTTCAAGTATCGAGTCCCGAATTTCACCCAGGATGAAAAAATGTCATTGGTCACAATCATACAGAAATTCGGTCACATAATCGAATGTAAAACCACGGATGGAACTTCAAAAAAGGAAAAGGGTAAAGCCTGGAAGAGTGTGGGGGAAGAATATAATGAAAATACGAGTATAATCCGTTCTCTGGAAAATCTGAAAACTTGCTGGAACAATTTGAAAAAGTTGAGTAAAAATTATGTTTCAAGGGAGAATCAGGAGAACGTGAAAACAGGTAATTTTTGCGGAAGAGAGTGATATGAATGTGGGGAATCACTCAGTATTCAGTGATTCGACTCTCATTAGTCTCAATAATAATCAAAGGGACCATTTTATATGGGTAAGAAAAAGTTACAAATAGTTATAAACAATCGTAGGGGGTGGCACAAAGGATTTTAAACGCGAACCGCTGTTGGAGGAAGTGTTGAAGGTGATTGGCCGTCAAATTAAGCCACTTATAACTACGTCATCATTTCCAATCATGGCGGTAATCGCAATTTAATTGGCTGAAGTATTGAAAACCTCTAATGTTCACTATTTGAAAGTCTATTATCGGAATTTAGTTTATTTATTATTTGCCATGTATACCCTACTCGGGTTTTTACAAGTTCCCTAATTTGCGGTTATCATGGGCCGACTGCCGCCCCAAGCCGGACTCGAACCCGCGCCTCACGGGTCCCGCCATCCGGCCGAGTGATTTAAGCACTTCGGCCACCGTCGTCGGTTTATCGGAATTTAGTTATTTTTGTACCATTGAATTCCCGATTTTCTATTCTACATCTGCCGGAAATTTGTAAACAAGGTGCTGACGTCACCCTGTATATCTAGATCAAACCATTTTTTAAATGTATCACCGTCACAAATTAGAAATTAGCTATGACCGTCATTATGCATCTATATAGATAATATATTATAGATGGTCTGATATCAATTTGCTCACAAATTATTTGTGAATATCATTTTTAGTTGAAAAATACGAGCGTCACATGACCGTTATGTTTTGGTCGTATGACGCGATCTCAAAAATGTCGGTCATTTTGCATCTCTAGGTACTGTGACGTGCTCCAGTGGGTTAAATCAAAATCGTAACAAAAATAATAATGAAGAATCCTTGCGAGTTCTCGTGGGAACAGATTGAAACCTATACGTAACACATCCTACAACTGAGTAATTACAACTTGCATCACGAATATCCTAAAATCGTTTTTCTTTTTCCACCTTTTGTCACTCTATCCCACAATAACACATTCAATGACATGAAATCATCATAAACTACACATTCTAGTTTCTCCCAATTATTTCTTAGGACTCCACTAGGGAATAAAATTCTATTTCATGAAATTTCGGAAAATTATTCATTGTTCTCCGTTGAAGAAAAAAGAATCATCATTTCAAAATCTTTAGCAAATGGAAACATTTGACCACTTCCAACTGTGTATTTGTTAAGGTATTGACGGTGTAGTCAAGGGGGGTCGAAAAAAAGTCAAAGTAATTGATGATTTTTTTTATACATTCTTTAATTTTTTCAAAATTCCTACGTAAAATCCCAGATGGCCTTGGAGAATGGGTGAAACACAGGAATTTTTTTGAGAAATGCATTTTAACACGGGCTCTTATGGAAATTCAGAAAAAAAAATATTAAAGACAGAAAAAAAGTCGTCATTTTCCTGAAATTTCGTACTTGGGGGAGCCTTCATGGAGGAACATAGAAAAAAATCATCCAAGTGGCCTAGGAGAATTTGTTTAGAAGGGATAATTAAGAAACTCATGAAAAATAAGAATTCTGCGTGCGTAACTTGGAATAGCGACAACGTCGAGGTTCGAAATTGTGGAAGGGTAAGCGCGGCAAATACGAATGGAGTTGTGTGATGATACATTTCGCTATGGGAAGGAACATAACAGCTGAGCGAATCAGTGCTGCCAATTTGTACCTCAAACGGCACGACATTGTCACTTTTTCTATCCACATTTGAATTATTTTCCAATTATTCAAAAGACAAGCTGGGAAAATAAAAAAAGGCTTGAAATATGTGGCAAAAAAAAGAAGTTATTAAAAAAATATTTCGAACACAAAAATGGTTCAAATTGATTGAAAATTTGTCATTGAAATATCGTTTTTATGTTCAGGGATTGGTTTTCTGTGAAAGAACAATAAATTCCCCTCCGTTTCACCTACATGCCCACCCCGCCATAAATACCTTAAAATATAAATACAGCATTTCAAAGATAATGTGCCGGAAGTTGATATGCTCGGGGGGAGTCCGAGTTGGCGATTCATCCGTTGACGGCGCCACCATCCAAACAATCAACAACAAAGTTCTTCCAAAAGCAGTTTAATAAGGCTTCAAATTAGTGATAAGAGAGGCGGTATTTTAATCCACTATCCCTCTTCTTATTTTTTCCTCATTCTAAAATGTTAATCAACTTAAATATTCGTTTACAACTCTTGGTGGGAAATTTACGCGCCTAATCTACCCAGCTAGTACAGGATGTATGAATCACGTGATTTATTTCGTCCAATGAAACTTTAGTGGAGCGATCGAGAAAGGGGAGAGGGAATGAAGTGGCTCTGTAATTGGAGCAATCTTTAAGCCGTTACTGATGAGAAGGTACTGTCTGTTGCACCGGGTGCACCCATTGTTCTTGTCCTCCGTATTTGTCGTGTAACAAACGGATTTTATGTTAACTGAGTATTCGACATGAGGCAAAAGTCATCAAAGGTTGATGCTCGTAAGTACAATGTCACTCGTATCAAGAAATTATACGTTCATGAGATATCCCAGCGTTCAGTATTCTGCGATTTCTCCGAACGGAAAAATTCCATGACTCCTCTCGACTTTTTTGCATTCACAAGTTCCCATGGCTTACTTTCTCTAGGGTCATCATCAAAGAGTTCCATTTGTCAGCCATCCGGAGATGTTGAGCCAAAGACTGACATGTCAACTTGGCCTTTCAATGTTGGTGAGTAAACCGCATCCGAATAGCAGCAGATCCACGCCAAATCAGCAGGACAAAAAAGCAAATGCTGTGGATTTTCGTCTCAATTTTTTTCTAAAAAGAAGGCGATTCGGCAAAAATTTTGAAAAAAGAAACATTGAAAAATATTAATAGGGGAGGGTGGGGTAAAACGAACACTAGACTTTTTTTTAATTATTCATAACTCAGAAACAAATTGATCAATTGAGCTCAGTTTAGGCTCATCACGAAGGGAAAGAATTGTTCTTTGTATTGAAAAAAAAATTATTAAATTTTATCAACATTTCAACCCCTTATTAACATTTTAAAAAAAGTCAAAAGTGTGTGTTTTACCCAAACCTCCTCTAATTGAGGGCGTTTTTATTTTTTGATAATTGCTAGTTTTTGTCCGAAATAGTATATTTCGTTACGAGTGCCGAAAAGAGTTTTGGCTCGTGGGAGGTTTATAGCATGAGCCGAAGGCGAGTGATATAATCCCACGAGCCAAAAAAATCTTATCCCATGAGTATCAAACGATATTTTTCATCACAATGTGTGGAAAAGGGACGTTTTAAACACGCGAAGCACACTTTTTCGCACAGCGTGATGAAAAAATATTTTTTTCTAAATTGAGGAAATATTCGATAGCTTGAAATCCTCAACATCTCTGCGGGGTTTCAAGCTATCGAGTTGCCCTTTGGCACACTCAAAAAACATGAAAAGCCCTTCAAAATGACACGTCATACATAACATTATTTTCAGTTTGACGCAGTTTATGCGAGAAAGCGTTTTTTTAATCGTTAATTATTCAAAAAGCTAATTTTTTTTTATTTGAAATTTTCACCAAAAATTGTCAATAAACTGACGAGCATTTTGGTGCCAATTAGAGATTGTCTTTCGCCGTAGTTCGGCGGTTATGAATTTTTTCAGTGAAACAAGTATTGAAAATGGCCGAAAATAGCTATTATTCGTGAATTATTGCTCAAATAAGTGAATATTGAATTAAATATTAGCAAATGGTGGAGATTACACTCATTATATCTTCTATTGTTCATCTTCAGTATGGTTTTTTTAGTGAAAAATTATTACTTCTCCAATTGTACAATGAAAGTACATTTTTCAAAGGGCTTTGATTTATTGGTAATCGAGAATTCAATTCAATTGACTCATTTTTAATTATTTACTCATTTGGGCGATAATTACGTGAATAATAGCAATTTTCGGTCATTTTCACGGCGAAAGAGAAACTCTAATTGTCACGGACAATAAAACAATAGAAAGAGACACTCTAATTGACACCAAAATGCTTGTCACGTTATCGACAATTAAAAAAAAAATATAACTCCTTCAATTTTCCATATTTTTAATTTTTATTTTTTCAAAAATTTTTCTTATCGCCATCTGTTCAAAAATATTGACACGAAAATCCCCAGCGTTCACTTTTTAGTCCAGCTGATTTGGCGTGGATCTGCTCATATAAAATTTGTAGGCAATTTTTTTGGGGACATAGTAAAACTTCAATTTCGTTGTTCATGTTTTTATTAGAGAGAATACGCCACGTGCCGCCATCTGAGGTCAGAGTTTTCTTGATGAGCCACTTTGAGTGGGTCCCTCTCAATCGTGAGTATTTTTCAACTTGAAAATATCATGCACTGAGAGAAAGTATTACTGTTTCATTCTACTGAATTGTTGTCTCAAGCCACTCTCAAGAGATAACATATTCGGTTGAAGACATTAGTTGTGTGCTGTTAGTTCGTTTTTTCTATCCGTTTGAGGTACTTCCTCAGTGAGTTATACTTGGTGAAAATTTCACAATGAACTGAAGACCTAAAATTTGGATCATATGTTGCTGAGACCATGTAAAAACGACTCCCAAAATTTCAAGTATTTTTTCCACGCGAATTTTTCAGATATGTATCGTGAAACATTCAATGTTTGTCTTTTTAAAATTTTTGTCGATGCATATCTAAAAAATTCGCGTGGAAAAAATACTTGAAATTTTGGGAATCGTTTTCACATGTGCTCACCAACATATGATCCAAATTTTAGGTCTTCAGTTCATTGCGAAATTTTCACCAAGTATAACTCACTGAGGAAGTACCTTAAGTATGGTGACTATAAACTGAAAGTGGATCTGATTATTGATCATTTGACACCCAATTAATCAGTCACAAATCAGAATTGTTGCGAGCACTGGATGGCCTTGGCATGTCTTCAAGTTTATAATCAGCACTCAAGAATTATCCATCATCCTCGATGTTCTACTTCCACTGTGTGAATAAACCTTATATCAGTAGGAAGTCAATTTTGACTATTGGCTAGTTTACAATAAATATCTCGGAATCTAAGGGAGATAGCAAAATTTTTGTTATAACCTTTTTCGTGGAGCCAATCGAGAGCTACAACAAATTTGTGTTTGGTGAGGGATCTGAGATTTTTGGGTGGTTCCGGGAATTCTAGGAAGTGATTATCTAAAGGAGATGTACTTTAAAACGAGAAGAATTTTAGCATCAAGCGTAGTCGGTTTATTTGTCTAGTAATCGTCACTGCACGTTTAATTACACTATTACGCGTTTAAGACTGCTCTGAAAGTTGATAATTGTCTGTTTAACACGCGGATTTACTAATTCGATGATTTGCTAGATAATTGACTAATAGAGAAAAGCTGAGAGTTTGACAAAAATGTGGCAAATCTAAGGTGATTGGCTGGTGATATAAAACTATACACTGAGACTGTCCGTCTACTTGGACATCTGAGAGGCTACCGATCCTGCTATAGCAAAGCTGGATTAGCAACTGAAGTGAACTTTTTTCTGTGACTTGCGTCAGCATTGACTGTTGACCCGAAGGGCCTCGCTTATTGACGAGGAGTTCCGATCTAATATATACGTTAAAACCTGATAAATGTCTCTCTATTTCAAATAATGTGATTACGAAAATTTCGCTATCTCCCTTAGATTCGGAAATATTCCTCAAAAACTCAACTGGGAGATAAGTCGACTTAAACCGTTTTACTACTTCACTACTGATATGTATATTTTTTTATTTTACTCTGCTAGTGGACCTGGACGAAGTATCCTACAACGATCTTCACGGTAAGGGCTGTTTCGGGGCGGTGACCCAAGGGCGTAGAATTTTGGGTAGAATAATCCCATTGGCTCCAAGTAAATATGCAAATTTTCATATATAATTGTATAATCATCAATTACTTACAAATTTTATTCATATTAACAATTCCAATTCGGTGGTTTCCAGGAGTCATCGAATATCCTACAATTCCAAAAGAAATAATGGGTTCTGGAGGAAGAGACCAGAAAGATAAGGAAGGACAGCTGCAGAATTCTGAGGAGACAAAAGGTAAGTTAAAATACCAATCAATCCGATGTTGTGCTTTAAGCAATACTTTTTCAATCCTTTAGAATTTTCTCGGCTATGAAACAATTATTCCCAGTGTTATCACTGCATTTTCCCATGATTACTGCAATCTGTACTTTTGTTTCCATTTCCTTCCTACAGTATCAGAAGCATCACCAACAATAACGTCACCAGGAGATCCACCGGCTGGAGCTCCAAGTCCTAAGGAATCAATAGCAGAAACTACATCAGAGGAGAAACCAGCACAAGAAACACCAGACGATCATCCCCCAGCTATTTTACTAGACGACTCTTTGAAAGCCACACCAGCAACTGCAACAGCAGTAACTTTGCTGGAAACTAGATCAAACGATCAAGCCATGGGTCCTGCACCAGGAGCTTTACCAGAAGAGGGCTCAATTGAAGCTACCGTAGGCCCTGCAGTACCAGAAACTCTGGAAGAAGTTCCACCAGCAGCAACTTCACCAGAAGCTATAGTGCGAGAAACTCTCCCAGAAGCTGAAGTATCGACTCCCCTGAAAATATCAGCAGCTGCTGCTGCGTCAGTGACTGCTGCTGATGGAATCAGCCATGCGAGGAAGAGAACTGCAGCTACTCCAAGTGGACGAGCCTCAAGGTACTCCAAACGTCTCAAACACTCCGAGATTGCGACGGAGGACTCTGGTAAGTTCCATAAGTCGGAAATTGCTCTTGCCTTCATGTCAGTAGTGAAGCGGTATAGTACATTCCATGCCCGAGCCTTGGAAAACAGATCACCGTCCCCCACGTGCAAGATTGCCTTCCGAGCCCAAGGCGAGGATGGCAGGCACGTCTCTGCTACTGCTGCTGTTTATTTTATGTTATTAAATTGAATGAGATTTATTTTGAAACAATTGCGTCAAATTTTCAACTTAGCTGAATGGTAGCATTATCATTATTCTTATCCCTTTCTCTCATACAATTGATTGTCTTTTTTGGGGTCCTATCACTCTCCTCACCCCTTTGTTGCTTCAAGGGCTGACATTCTCATCCTAACTACGTGACATCTACTTCAGGAGCTATATTTCTAATTGACGTTTCAGTATTTGTATTTTCATTCAACGGTTTCCTAGTTATTGAATTTATTTTTTTGCCGGCTCTGTATTCCACAAGTTTGTCGTCTAGATAAACCACGGTTAGGTCTTTGCTGTCGATTATTGTTAATATATGCTGGAAAATTTGAAATTTGCAAAAAATCATCATGAAAATGAAATCAACAGATATAGCTATCGTAATTATCGTTTACCTTCGACAGTGTGGAATGAGAACTAACATGTTAAGGCATAATTGAATTAATTTGAAGCATGATATCTCAAGATATCCCCGGAATTCCTATTTTCAAATACAAAAATTTTCCAAATTTTTATGTAAATGAAAACAACGATTATTGCTATGGCTATCATCTTGGAACTCGATCAAAAGGGCATCCAAACAGATTTTTTAAGTCATCATTCAATGAATACAGAATATTTTTTTTAGTTATCGTGGGACAACGGATTTTTCAAAAATTCAAAAATTGAAAAAATTATTGAATGAATTAAATTTCCATTAATGTGGAAGGGTAAGGGCTAAGAGAAGGATAAAGGCTAGCAATCAGACAACAATTGAAGATGACCTTTGTCAGACATACGTACGGACACGGTCTAAAAATTGCATTTTCGGACTTTCTGGATCATAATGAATCGATATAGGACAAAAAATCCTGGACAAAGCTTTCATTCTGAAGCAAAAGTGAAGTGACTCAAGCTCTTCCATCTTCGTTAGGTATTGGCTTTTGCATATATTCATTTTGATCGCATTCTTCGACTGTTCACAGAGGAGAGCTCTTCTGAACAAGTACTAATGACTCCCAAAACAAAAGGCTCGAGAACACGCCCACGCAAAACGCCAAGGAGGAATAATTCTCGAACCGATGGAGTTCAGGGGAAGAACGAAACTGCTGCTGCAGGCAAGATTGACATGTCTCTCTTAGAGAGTCTTACTGAAGACCAACAGTTGCAGTTGAACGAGATGTTGAAGATGTGGAATAATCCGAAGAACGTTGAGGGTAACGAAGATGGACACTAGACTCTGGTTCCAAACTATTATTTGTGCTCATTTTTTTCCGTGTGTCTTGTATTAAATAGAAATGAAATAAATTAATTTCATTCCATCTAATAATTTATCATGCTCTACAGATTTTTTGGTATTAACTCGATCTGTTGTATCAGTTTTAATTCCAATTTTTCCATTCATATGGTGAAGCTTCTCTCAGGTGTTTCGATAATTCCATCATCAGTGAATGTTCACGTAGCAAATATGAATATCGATGAGAACCCTCATGCAACCGCTAGAAAATTCTACTGGCTTTGCGGTCCAATTTAATTGCAATTCTATGAGCAGTTATAGTTGTTTATTTTGATTGAGAATAATGCACTAAATGCTTGGGAGAAAAAAAAATGAATGTTGATTGTTTTCTATAACTAGTTCTCTTGCGACTGTATGAAAAACTTTGAGCATAAATTTTCAAAATATTCTTGATTTTGTGATGATAATCAAAGCAAAAACTTGGAAAATATATGCCCAATAATCATTATATAGGAAAAAGTTTAAGAAAATAAGTCATAAAAAATCAATTGTGGATTTTCTATGAAATAAATATATACTGGGCCTCTTTCATATTCGTTCTCATCAAGGTTTAACGTCGTGGGCTTTTACTGAATCACCAAAAGTAACTCAGTGAATAAGTAGTTGACTCAATTCACAATTTGCATATAAATATTTTTAAACTAAAGAAGATCAGGATTCAGAAGCTCATGTGGATTTACTTTTACTTTACCTCAATATTACTATCATTATTATTATTATACGACAGACGATTAGACTGTATCTTTCCATACAGTTGTCTTGTTTTATGATTCAATAATGATCAACAATCTTTCTAAGATAAACTGAATTATGCTTCAACTTCATAATTTAAGGCCCGGGTGTACTATCTTTCGAACGTTATCTCAATGTTTTTTTTTTCATCTTTCGTCATCTGAAATTGACAATTAAGTCCTATATCATGCAGAAGTTTTGAAAAATTATGAATGAATAATCAAAAAAAAGTGGAAACAATTCTTAATTTTTTCATAGAGCATTTTTAATTTATATTCAGAATAAGTTGAATAAAAATCTGAAAAATGTATCTGATTTACGGTGACATATGGTGGCCTGACCCCAATATCATGCAGGGGGCAGATTGATTTCGTAAATCTTTTCCCACACTGCACAGAGACATTTATTACGGAAAAGGCTCTTTGAGAAAAGTTGTAATATTTTGGAGAATTTTTTCATCACATTTTTATCATATGAAAATGGCCAATGATTACATACCACTGTTTTGAAAATTGAGATACCTAGCTGTCACTTCCCATGAGGAGTTAGTGTTTTGTTATCCACCATGGAATGACAGTTAATAGATAATTTGCCACAGCGAATATTTGTAATTTCCACTTTTTTCAACTCATTCTGAATCTCAATTAGAAACGCCCTTTGAAAAAGTTCAGAATTTTTTCTTTTTTTCCATCATTCTATCATAATTTTTGGGAATTTCTACATGATGTACCACTCAATTGACAATTTTGGATTACGAAAGATGAAAAAAGTTCAGATAACATTCGAAAGATAGTACACCCGGGCCTTAATCATATTTTCTAACATCGAGATATTGATAGATAAATTAATTGAAAACCTCCCGCAGATTGCAATTTCTGTAGTCGATTGTCATCAGATTTTTTAAGTACTGTGACGTATTGTCATTAATACGTCGGTTATTTGTTGAATACAATGTGACGTATTATGAATAATACGTTACATTAAATTTATAATGTGGGACGATGAGAAAAGAAATATGATTTCTTTCTCATCGTGCAGGAGCAGAGCTTAGCACTCTCACGGTGCCATCTGAGTCCAGCTTCTCGGTAAAGAAGCTGTTTAACTGTTCTAGTTGTGTGTCAATGATGGCACTTAATTGCCTTAGTGTTTCGGGACCGTGAGACTGCTTGCTCTGCAATTTTAGGTTTTGAGCATTTTACAAAGACTCTGGAATAGGGCAGAGTACGATCGGGAGTGAAGCTGGACGGTCATCCCAGCTCCTTCAAATATTAATAACGCGTTTGCCGAACCCATCAATAACACTGTCGTGTATTGTAGTTAGTAGTTGAGTTAAATATACCATACTTTTACCAGTTAATCGTGTATTTATCTTCGCTACAATACCTTCCAATTCCCTTATCATTCCCAACTTGAGTGAATCCCACGCGACAGTTAGCCGGTCAACAAAGGGTACGACGGCCCTAGGAAAGGAAAGCTTATTTCTATTTGTGACTAGTCCCAGGGACTAGTCACATGTTAGATCACCCAGGATTAATGCGATGGGTGATCTAACTCAAAACGTCACAGTACATATGACCCTATGCTCGATGCTGCAGTCTTAACTATTCCGTCTAAAAGACGGAAATGATGAAAAACAAGTTGGATGTGAAGTGGAGAAATCGGAAAATTTGATTGAATAGATTTTCTAATGGAGGGATTCTAGTCAGGTGCTGATGAACACTGGTGTACATCATCACCTGACTAGGATTTCTGCATCAGAAAATCTATTTATACAAATGAAAAAACTTCCGATTTCTACACTTCGAAGATCTAAAAGACGGAAATGAAAAACGAGTTGGATGTAAAACTTGCATGCATGTGTCAACAGCGATAACGAACATACCGATGGATGTGCCGGAGGACGCTCAATCTCAGGGATGGTCGCGGAAGGATTGGAATATGGGTTTTCGGTGTTCAGCAGCCTTTTCTTTGTGGGACGAGACTGCTCCTCTTCGTCGATCTCTTTCGACTCTTCCGTGGTCGCCATTTCTTTCTCCTGGACGAAAGAACAATGAATAAAATTATCGAAAAAAAAGACATATGAGAAATTTCTGCGTGATTGTAATGGTAATGTTGATGGTAATGTTGATGTACTGGCATCAACTGTGAACTCATAGGGAAAATCTATAATGAAATTTAATCACCAGAGTCTAGGTGTCAATATACACTAGTGTGTACATGTTCCTTGATATAATCCACTAACTGGTGTCAGTGTGCACCAATGCATAAAAACAGACATTACATAATGTATATTGAAGTGGAGAAATCTGAAAATTTGATTGAATAGATTATCTAAGGAAGGGATTCTAGTCAGGTGCTGATGGACACTGGTGTACATCATCACTTGACTGGGATTTCTACATCAGAAAATCTATTTATACAAATGAAAACTTCCGATTACTACACTGCAAAGATCTCAGAGACGAAAATAATGAAAAAACAAGTTGGATGTGAAGTGGAGAAATCGGAAAATTTGATTGAATAGAGTTTTCAATGGAGGGATTCTAGTCAGGTGCTGATGGACACTGGTGTACAGCATCATCTGACTGGGATTTCTGCATCAGAAAATCTATTTATACAATCAAAACTTGCGATTTCTACACATGGAAGATCTAAGAGACGAAAATCATGAAAAAACAAGTTGGATGTGAAGTGGAGAAATCGGAAAATTTGATTGAATAGATTTTCTCATGAAGGGATTCTAGTCAGGTGCTGATGGACACTGTTGTGCCTAACTTACCTGAGTGGTGGGACTGACGGACCTGACGGTCTTCTTCGAGAACTTATTATTGTAAGTATATTTGGCCTTCTCCACTGCAGACAGCACATTCACAGGTGATTTCTGCTGTTCAGCTGTCATATCACCCGAGATCGACTCTGGAGACGACGATCGTGTCCATAATTTGAACGATCGGTTTTGCTTCGCGACTGGTGTTTCCTCGTCGGCACTCGGAGTTTGAGGTTTACGTAACACCCTAACTCCTTTAACGGGATTGCTGCTGATGGATTCTTCAGGCTCGGGAGCTTTCTGAAAATCATAGCAATGATAGACACTGGTGTACAGCATCATCTGACTGGGATTTCTCCATCAGAAAATCTATTTATACAAATGAAAAAACTTCCGATTTCTACACTTCAAAGATCTAAAAGACGGAAATGATGAAAAAACAAGTTGGATGTGCAGTGGAGAAATCGGAAAATTTGATTGAATAGATTATCTAAGGGAGGGATTCTAGTCAGGTGCTGATGGACACTGGTGTACATCATCACCTGACTAGGATTTCTGCATCAGAAAATCTATTTATACAAATGAAAAAACTTCCGATTTCTACACTTCAAAGATCTAAAAGACGGAAATGATGAAAAAACAAGTTGGATGTGCAGTGGAGAAATCGGAAAATTTGATTGAATAGATTATCTAAGGGAGGGATTCTAGTCAGGTGCTGATGGACACTGGTGTACATCATCACCTGACTAGGATTTCTGCATCAGAAAATCTATTTATACAAATGAAAAAACTTCCGATTTCTACACTTCAAAGATCTAAAAGACGGAAATGATGAAAAAACAAGTTGGATGTGCAGTGGAGAAATCGGAAAATTTGATTGAATAGATTATCTAAGGGAGGGATTCTAGTCAGGTGCTGATGGACACTGGTGTACATCATCACCTGACTAGGATTTCTGCATCAGAAAATCTATTTATACAAATGAAAAAACTTCCGATTTCTACACTTCAAAGATCTAAAAGACGGAAATGATGAAAAAACAAGTTGGATGTGAAGTGGAGAAATCGGAAAATTTGATTGAATAGATTTCCTAATGGAGGGATCCTAGTCAGGTGCTGATGGACACTGGTGTACATCATCACTTGACTGGGATTTCTGCATCAGAAAATCTATTTATACAAATGAAAACTTCCGATTTCTACACTTCAAAGATCTCAGAGACGAAAATAATGAAAAACCAAGTTCGATTTGAAGTGGAGAAATCGGAAAATTTGATTGAATAGATTTTTCACTGGAGGGATTCTAGTCAGGTGCTGATGGACACTGGTGTACACTGATGTACCGATCGATCCTCTGCTTTCCTCCTGCGTCGAGGTCTTGACGTTGATGGCCTTGGAGGTTCGGTGTCGTCGCTGTCGCTATTCGAGTCAGTAGATGAAAC